AGGAGAAGAGAAGAAGAGGGGGGGGGGGGGGGTAGAGGGGAGATGATTCTCCAAACCTGTTTTGTTTTGTTTTGTTTTGTTTCTGATGTTTACACATGTTGCCTGAGCTGGTTAACCACATCGGCAGCCTCAGCTACCACAACATACTGACTAAATGATGATATTTACTCAAGTTCAGTCTGCAGCCAAAACCATTAGGGTGTGCATTGCAGACTGTGTTTTGTTGTCTTTTTTTTTTTTTTCTTAAGTGAAGGGGGGAAAAAGATAAACAAGGAATAGTTTGTCAAACAGTACACAGTAATTTCAAGAGAATGTATTTCTTTGCTGCATTTAATGGCCTCACACATTTCTCATCAATCTAAATGTTAGAAATACCGACCCCCTTTGTTTTAGCTTTTCATTTCATTTCCATTTTTCATATGTTTTGTAATTATTTTTTTCTATGTTCACATCAGCGTTCACTTCCGTTAAATTTGCCAAAGGAAACTATTGATATGTTTCTGTTGTTGTTATTCCTATAGGATTTATTGTACCTCACAGTATTTATTGTTTCCAAAAAAATAAGCATCATTAGTTGTGGATTCAGTATTTTTATTTGTGAAAAGTTCAGAAACAATAGATTCTTAGAGATAAGCTAGATGTATCTTGGAGCTTTATCTTTTCATCTCCTTCAGAGGATGCTATGGGGTTCATTTAATTCTTCATTTGTTCCACGGTGAGGAAAGACCAAAAGTACTTGCAGTACAAAAGAAACCTTACTAAACACTATGTCTCTTAAATGACAAATGTTTACGGTAAAAAGCTGAGGAATTAGTAATAACTGTTGTTTTCTTGTACCTTTGGATTCCCCAAAGTCCTAATGGCTTTATTTTGATGTTGTGTTAAATGGAATAGACAGAGATGTTTCCTTTTGTTTTATACCATATTAGACTCTGTACAGTATGTTTGTGAAAGATTGAACTAGAATAATGAAAGTTTGTTTGCAAACATGTTGGTCCTCTTAGCGTTCTCTGTGTTGCGCTGTTGACCCATTACCAAGTGATTCCGTTCAAAAGGGTGGGGGAAATGTTTTTAGCATCCCAACAGGAGATCACAGAAACAGTAGCTTTTTTGGAGTGTGTGGAGACAGACTTATACCCAGTTTTATTAAAATAACACATTTTTTATTTTTTTTTAAAGGTACACTCTTGGTTGAGCTGTTGGAACTCATCCTGTACAGAATCAATGTTTAGCCTGTTTAATTTAATGTCACCTGAAAGGTCAGGTAGCCCTAGTGAGTGACTTACCTAGGTAAGTCAGCAGGTTACATCAGCAAATGAACCAGGCTTAGAACTAATGTGTGTTACTTGCCACAATCGGGCTAAGGTGGATCGCCAGATAGAACAAGTCTAGATGCGGCGAGATTCCCAAAGTAGAAATTCCCTCGCTCAGAAACATGGAAGTACTCGGCGGCATTTTGTCAGAGAAATGGCAGTGAGTCCTGGACAGCTCACCCTACTTAAATATCTTCCCAAATTGCTACTTCTTTTGTGCCTCAAATGCCCAGATGGAATGGTGGCCTTCTACATGGGTGAATAACATTTTCCAACACAAAGCCGATTTGCCTAAAAGGGACAGGGGGAGTGGATCATGAAACGTACAATGCTTTTAGTCCCAACGTGTTGCTTGTTTAGGGTGTGTGCCTCTGTGCAATGTTTTAACTTACCTACCACTCTAGTTAAGAGGTGATCCCATGGCTTATTTGCAAACAGGAAGGATAGAGAGATCAGCATGTTCATCATGGAGCCCTTCATCTTTGCCCATCCCTACTCATTTGCTTTTCACAGGAGATTCCTACTGTGCAATGTTTTCTCTCTAGCTGCATCCATTCTGTGCTGGCTGAAAATTAATAGTGACGCTGGTTTTCATCCAAGCGGCTTTTTCCCATTTGATTGGTTTTAACCAGACTTTTGTCACAGGTACAAAATTAGGAAGTATTATGAATGTGCATGTTCAGTAGACGATGTTGAAATTACTGTTCTGATCATTTTAAACTATGCTTTTGTAAATATCAGAAAAGCTTCTGCTTTAGGGAATATCTGCATGCTATGGAGGGGGATGACAAAGAGCAGGAAAAGGGATAGGTAATAAGTAATTTGGTTTTTAAAATGTGATAAAAAGCTAGACACTGTTTGTTCTGCCATTAATTGTATTGAAATAATTCAACCCAATGTAACGCATTTCCGGTCATAGTCCAGCCACCCCGTTCATCCTGTCACCTTTTAAAGGTTTACAGGTGTTAATATTTTCCTTCTGGAGATGATAAACATCTGTTTTTGAAAACGTCTTTAACACAAGGGTGCCACTGTCTTTTAGTATATGATTCCTTTGGCTGTGAGTTTCCAGGCCCTTTCAGTAAGAGGCAAATGGCACTTAACTGGTTAACAGCCCTGTTAGTGTATACATTGCTCTTTAAAAAAAAAAAAAAGCAGGCTTTGACTATACCATGAATGGGCTGTTCCAGAGGCATTCTCCTCATTTTACTCAGGAGAAACCATGCATTAGGTTCTCACCAAATAAAATAAATGTGACCTTTTGTTCCCCATCCGCTGTACACACCCCAGATGTGTGCCAAGCAAATGAGGAGGGGAGCCCTTGGCAATTAGAACATAAAGAAGCCGGTAACCAGATTGAGATGGACGTGCTGCTAACTGCTAACAGTTGACCTGAGCAGTCCTAACTTGTACTTGGACTGTTAGTGTTGAGTTAGATTGACTAACAGAGTAAATAGAATTCAACTGTAATAAGACACGCTACATCTGCTCTCATAAAGAAACAAATCACCCAGAAAAACCTTACCTTCTTTCTATCAACATGCTCCCTTTCTCAAGAACTTCTTTTTTTAAAATTCTGACTAACAAATTTCATTTTTTTAAAAAATACATATTCCCTCAAACTCGGAATATTTATTAAAGGATTTTGGTTTTTTCCTTTCGGTTCTTTGTGTTATTTTGTTGTGGTTTTTTTTTTTTAATGGGAAGGGTCTCCACAGGTAAGGAGGGCGAGAAAAGGCAGGTGCCACAGAGACCGGAGGGAACCCCAGCTGTTCCAGAGGCCCAGTGAGTGAGGCACGCTAAGTAGAGGAGGCGCCCACCCTGTTCGGGTGTAGCTAGAAAAGAAAGAGTAAATGCACTGAAAGCGTGTGTTCCAGGCTGGTGCAATTCTGCCAGGCAGTGGGTGGGGTCATGGTCATGCTGATGCTGTGCCCTGCCTGTACCAGGTGAGGAAGGAGAAGAGCAAGGACAGCTGTGTGGAACAGCTCAAGGTCCTTA